TTATAATTTTGTACACCTCAATCAGATTCCCCATGAGCCTTCTCTGCTCCAAAGAAAGCAAACCCAAGCAGTCCAGTTTCTCTCTTCATAAATGAGACATTTCATCTCAGGCAACATCCTGGTGAATCTCCTCTGCACTCTCTCCAGTGTATTCACATCCTTCCAATAGAGTGGCAACCAGAACTGCAGACAGTATTCCATCTGTGGCCTAACCAATGGGCAATAAATGCTGCCTAGCCAGCAATGCCCTCATCCCGTGAATGAATAAAGAAAAAAAAATTAATACAGTTGTAACAAGGTTTCCTTGCTCTGACATTCTATGCCCCAGCTAATGATGACACACATCCTATATGCCTTCTTTACCACCCTGTCTGCCTGTGCTGATACCGTCAGGGATCTATGGACTTGTACAGCAAGGTCCCTTTGTTCTTCAGTACTCCCTAGGGATCTGCCATTCATCATGTAGGTCCTTCCCTATTGGACCTCCCAAAATGCATCACCTCGCACTTATCAGGATTAAATTCTATCTGCCATTGTTCTGCTCAATTTACCATCTGATCAATATCAGACTGTAGCTCGAGACCATCCTCCTCACCATCAACAACACCATCAATTGCTGTGTCATCTGCAGACTTAATAATTATACCTTCTACGTTCACATCAAAGCCATTAATATTTATAACATGTATATTTGGGGGAGGCAGTGGAATTCCAGGCCCAGGTAATATTCTAAGGACCCAGATTCAATCCCACCATGGCAGATGTGGAATTTGAATTCAATTTTAAAAAAAAATTGGAAGTAAGAGTCCAATGATGATCATGAAACCATTATTGATTATTGGAAAACATCCTTCAGGGTTGGAAACTGTCATCCTTACCTGGTCTGGTCTGCTTGTTACTCCAGACCCACAGCAATGTGGTTGACTCTTAACTGCCCTCTGAGTAATTAGAGATGGGCAATAAATGCTGGCCTAGCAAGTGACACCGACCTACTATGAATGCATTTAAAAAAAGACAAACAGCAAGTGGCCCAGCACCAATCCCTGTGGTACACTGCTGGTCACAAGTTTCCAATTACAAAAACAAACCTCCACCATCACCCTTTGCCTCCTATTTGTAAGCCAATTTTGGATCTAGTTTGCCAACTTGCCTTGGATCCCATGGACTTTACCTTTTGGTCCAGCCTTCCATGTGGGACCTTGTCAAAGGCCTTACTGAAGTCCATGTAAACCAAATCAACTGCACTACCCTCATCAGTATATTTAGCAGCTTTTTCAAAAAAACTTAATTAAATTAATCAGACAGCATCACCCTCTAACAAATCTGTGTTGACTATCCCTGATCAATCCCTGCCTTTCCAACTATTGATTAATCTGTCCTTCAGAATTTTTGTCCAATAACTTCCATATCACAGACTAACTGATCTGTAATTACAAGGCCTAGATCGGCCGCACTTCTTGAACATAGTCACCTGGCACTTCACCTGTGGCCAGTGAAGTACTGTATTGCAATTGCATCTGATTAGTTTCTACGGGAAGACTAATGGAATTAAATACTATTGTACTTGCGTTGTTTTTTATTGTAATTTTGTTTGGCAATTTCTATTTAAAGGTGGAGGAAGAAGAACCCACGGGATATATACAACTTGAAAAGTTCCTTCCTATGATGACTAGAGTGTTATTAGAAAGGAAGTGAGTTCTAAGATAAATTGCTCCATTCTTTATTTGTTGATTTATATACTAGTTTCTTTAAATGCCTTCATGACTAATTTATGATGTAAAAATTTATGACTGTGATGATCAAAAATTTTCCAATCTATTACAAAATCACTTGTTAACATCGAAATGTATAGTTGGCCTATAAATAATAATAATTCTATAAATAATTTTTTAGGACTGTGTATCAACTATTCTTCCTCATTCCTTATCTTCCACATATGCTTGAATAAAGTTCAATGGTGTTAAACTGCCAGGATGATTGGGAATTTTAGCAAATTATGAAAGTGAGATGCCAGGCCTGAGAATGACCCATTCCAGCTCATCTGTGTTGTTCCCTGGTGACATTGAAATTTTGTTTGAAAGATCTTACACAGGTAACTAATGTATTTTCATTGAAATTCCCTGTGTAGACCTTGCCAATTTTTCCTTTGATCTCTCTTTGTATTGTTCCGCTGACTGTATGTTGACTTCAGGTGTAGGAGCCACCAATATCCTCTGGTAATCCTGGGAGCAGCCTAACAGGGATGAAGATCTAATTCAAAGGGTCTTTGCTCTAGTTCATTCTCTGTGTTCCTGGACAACAAGTATTGCCCTAACACCACAAAGAGGAACATGCTCCTTATAGGAATTATTTATACCCTGACAAGCTTAATTTGTATTAAACTGCCTCCATCAGCATGAACTTTATTCTAAACTGCTTCAGATAGGGTGACCATTCCAAAAGTCTTGTGCTATTCATTCCATAAGCTACAAAATGTGTAAAATTTTTAAGTTTTTGTTTTAACCGTGTCGGATCTTGTAGGATGTTGAACTATCACAGAATTGAATAATGCAGCAGCAGACATTGTGATGAATAGTGCCACCATGTGCCCAAAGTATTCATCAACATCCTAGAAGCCCTTTTCCAAAGTCAGAAGTCACACAACGCTAGGTTTTAGTCCAACACGTTTATTTGAAAACAGAAGCTTTTGGAGCACTGCTCCTTCATCAGGTGAAGTGAAGAAAAGCAAACAGGCACAGCATTATAGGCAGACAGATCAACAGATCATTCTATCCGCCTCCCACTCTCTCCCTATTTATTTCAAAACCCCCTTCCCCTCCCCCTTTTCTGATGAAGGGTCTAGGCCCGAAACGTCAGCCTCTCTGCTCCTATGATGCTGCTTGGCCTGCTGTGTTCATCCAGCCCTGCACCTTGTTGTCTCGGATTCTCCAGCATCTGCAGTTCCTACTATCTCTGATTCAAATGGTGTGAGTGGAGTGTCGACAGGCTGAATAATAAGTCCCTGCAGGTGATCAAACATGTTAGACCATGTGAGTAAAGTGTCAACAGCTGAATAGCATGTGAAAGGATGATCTATAATCCAATTAATTGAGGCAGAGCGATAATTACAAAATATTAAAAATAAGGTGCTGCTGGAGACAAACCAAATGGCTAAAATAACATGATATGTATAAGAGTTGCATGCCAAGGGTCTAACCAAAATAACAAGTAATCCAAAACTGTGCAAACTAACTGTATAAGTTATCAAGGTGATGGTGTCAAAACAGGACAGTGTGGAAGATTTTACAGGTACAGAACAGTGTGGTGAGGTTACATGTAGTGCGACATGAACCCAAGATCACAGTTCAGGCTGTTTTCATGGGTTTGTCTCCAGCACCACCTTATTTTTAATTTTTTGTAATTATCTCTCTGCCTCATTTAATCGGAATATGGGTCGCCCCTTCAGTTGCTATTCAGCTATTGACCTTCACTCACACCGTCTGACACTTTCGATCACCTGCAGAGACTTATTATTCAGCCTGTCGACACTCCACTCAGACTATTTGTTTGATCTTTTGATCTCTCTGCCTATAAATTCTGTGCCTGTGTGCTTCTCTTCACTTCTCCTGAGGAAGGAGTAACATTACGAAAGCTTGTGATTTCAAACAAACCTGTTGGACTATAACCTGGTGTCGTGTGACTTCTGACCTTGTCCACCCCAATCTAACACTGGCACCTCCACATCATGGTCCTTTTCCAACACAGACTTATTTCACTTTGAAATACAGCTCAAACAGTGATTTAATTTCATTGTGAATTATTAATAACTTTGATTTGTTTCTATTGTTCCAAGGGCGTGTTTCATTTGAAACAATGATATCCATGTATGATCCAGTCATGGTGGATTTTGTTTGGTCCTTTTAGTTTTTATTTATAGTTTCAGACTTGATGCTTTGCCTTCTGAGAACATTTATTTCCTTGGAGCCTCTATGCATCACTCAACCCCATTCATTTTATCAACTGTATAGTTTGGGCTCCAGCAGGAGGTTGGAGAGGCGGTGATCAAAGTAGTACCGTTTGCTGGGAGCAGATCCGCATACCTAGCTGCCTACAACGGGTGGTCTTAATCCATCACAGTTTCAGAGATTTTCATCAGCCTCTGATGCAGCATACCTAATTTATATTTGAGAGCATAGTTAAAGGTAGAATCTTATTGTGGCCTGAACGATGTGGGCTATGGTGAACAATGGGAGAAGTCCTATGAAACCTATCGTGACGTTGGGAACAACTTGCTTAATTTTTTTAACTAAATTCCAGTCATCCAGACAAGATTCTCACCAGGTAGCAGCAAGTTGTCTATTAAGGTGAGTTGTCTATTGAGGAGCATTTTTACATATTAATGACCTTATTAACTGCAGATCTCGCCCCAGTAATATGCATCTTTCTGTCGGACCATCTGCTGTGAACAAACTAGATGCCGAGAAATCTTGACATGGAAATCATAGTGGGTACTTGGCAACTTCAGCTTCATGTTGGTTGCCATGAAACATCATCTCAGTACTCACAGCCACACAGACATCCCATTTTTAAAAATTTATTGTGGGACGTGGGTGTCACTGGCTGGCGAGCATTTATTGCCCATCCCTAAGTGTCCTTGAGAAGGTGGTGATGAGCTGCCATCTTGAACTGCTACGATCCACAGATACTGGCATCCACACATGCCAGTCTCTAAGAATGAAAATGGTACATCTCTGATCTGCCTTCAGGACACTTCTGTACTTCAATGCTGCACATCAAGGCACAATGGCAACTGTCATTGTCATGCTGCAGTAAGGATACATTGCACTCAGGGACATGAACCCAGCTCATGGAGGCTGCATCTCCAGGCTGTTCACTGCTCTTTTAGCGCCCAATCACTTTGAGCCCACCTGGACACTGTCAGAATCCTTCCTTTTTGCGCTTTGCCTCAGACAGAGATTCCAGCCTCACCGTCCTCCAATAATGCAATGCCATTTAGCACAAATACAAAGTCAGGAAGTTTGTCACAGTAGTCAGCTATCCTCAGTCAAGTTCAAGGAGATAACCTTCGAGAAGGGGGTTCCTGCACAGCAAATCAATGGGAGTCTCCAATACCAATCCAAAGGATTGGACATAATCAGTCATGCTTCAGATGGCTGAGACAGCACTGATCTGGTAGCAACCTCAGACCAGCTGGCATGGTCTGGTGTCATGGCCTCCTTTTTTGTGGACGAAGAGGACATCCAGATCCCTGCCCAGAAAGCAAGGCACCAATTTTCTCTTCTCTACTATGACCAGGGCAAATTTCAGGATCTGTGCACATCAGCTCCAGACTAACAGTGCTATCCAGGTGCACATTGGCTATTTAAGGATGGCACCAGCATCAGGATTGCTGGTCAGTTTTGGGATAGAATTGCCGATCGATTCCGGGATATTCCAGCAGTGACAAGTTGTTTGGGATATGATGAGTGGTCGAATAGGGTTAGAATCAGATGAGAGAGGTGCAATAGCAGTAGGGTAGATAATTAAAACGACAAGTTTAGACAGATGCAGAGAGAGAACTTACTAAAAACTGAGATAGCCAAAATCAAGTTCTGAAGAACGGTCACCAGATCTAAAATGTTAACTTTGCTTTCTGTCCACAGATGTAGCCTGACCTGAGTTTTTCCAGCAATCTATGATTTTGTTAAAGAAAGTAAGATTTAGCCCTATGTTTTTGCTGTAGGCTATACACTTTTACAGTAAATGAACTGACAGAGCAACAAAACAAGCATCGCTTTCAGTTATTACTAGTTCATTGACATCAGCATTCAGAAAGTGACAAATGTGTTGTGATCCCAGTTCTTTGTGATACTGGATAAGTCAGATCCCAAAATTAAGTCTGGCTTGATAGATCATGTGTTTAATTTTTGATGTTGGTTAACGTGGTGGTTAGTCCCTGAACATACTCATACAGTGAAAAACAAATATTTAATACAGTTAGAAAGACCAAAGCAGAGTTTTAGCCTTTTTTCCAACACTATCCATTTCAAAGATCTAATCCCAGAAAAATTTCACTCCTAGCTCAACTTTTTTTAAGTCTTTACTTAACTGGCATTTTCAAGTTTCTTTCTTTTGAATTGCTGAGATCTTTATTTAGAATACTTTACAAGTCCACTGGTATGAACGCCTCACAATTCTGATGACATAAATTTTCTCAGTTCACACAGCTTGAAGATTTCTATTCAAACTCTCCTAGCTTGGAAGCTTCACTGACAAGAAACCATTTCTACCTTGAACTAACTGATTGACTAACTAACTAACAGCTTTAATTGCCTGCTAGGAGAAAATCATTCTCTGCTGAACTGAATTCTACTGAAGGAAAAACTTGAATCTTAAAAACTAAAATTAAACTAATTGCCTTAAAAGTATGTATTGTGTCTCATAAACCTAACAGCATAAACATTTTACCCATTAATACTACAGCGCTCTACTGTAATCATCTGCTTTCTTGGAATTGATGTATTTAGGTCACTGTTCCAAGTTGATTTTCTATCGACAGAACTGACCCACATCTATTGCCTCTATTTTGAAATCCAAATCTAGAATATATGTCAAATATGTCTTTAATCACAACAGTGAGAGACTGCTGTAATTTTAGGTTTTCTAGGTTTGTTTTAATTTACCAATGATTGATCAATAGTTTCTCTAAATG